TCTTAGCCCAGAAAAGTAGAAGGAAAGAATCTATTTAAAACAGAAAATTTAGGAGGAAGAGTTTGCTTTGGAGCTCCGTGAGGCCTCCAGGGGACGATGCCCAAGAGTGGGCGGCTCAGGCCAGAGCTCAACGGGAAGGCCTGAAGCAGGGATGAAGGCACGTGGCTTGTCTTTGCCAGGGGCTGGGAGGTAGAAGAGGTCATCTGGAGCAGCTGTACAGTAAGAAAAGATGGCCACAAAGTAAGTTAAAAAACAGGTGGGGATATTAGAACCCAGGGAGGAAATTGATATGAAGTAGAAAACAAGCAGGGGACACAGGCATGTCACCGTGTGGCCAGCCCCACCAGATGCCCCAAGAAGTCAGAGAAGAGGTCTTTGCTGACAGTCTAGAGGGGAATTTTAGCTGAATATTTAGGAAAGAAGTCAAATTGCCAGGGGCTGAAAAGTTTTCAGACACAAGTTAGTCTGAACAAGCAACAATCTCAAGCTTCATGAAAAACAAGGGGGAAAAAACTTAATAGGAAATGAATGAAAATAATTTTAAAAGACCACCTTTCTAAAAAGTAAGTTAATGTAAGACCAAGCTATTTTTTGTGAATTTTCAAAACAGAAATATAAATGGTTGCTAGAACTAGTGATAATGTAGAATAGAGACACGTTTGTGGGCACAAAAATTCAAATGAATACATATGAATTAAAAGAGTGGCAAAGGGTACTTACAGTATGAGAAAATCGCTTGATCCTGCTTAGAAAATGTTTGGCGTTACCACTTGCACTATTAATGCCAAGTTCAAATATTCCAGGAATTTTAAAACCAAAGCTGGAACTAGACATGCTAGTTTCTCTCTGTGTAATATTATGTTCAAAATCTGAGTACGACTCATATTCTGTCAGTGCAAATTCATATTTTCCTTGGGTCTAAGGAAGAAAAAAGAAAATGTTTCTTATTTAATTTGACTCACATCAGTACAAGTCAACAGACCCCCACCGTACACTTCCTATGTGCCAGGCACTTGAACAGGTACTCTGGATACAGAAAAGTCAGGACCAACTGCATCCCCATCTCCAGGGCCCCTGACCCACCAGGAGAGACGGATATATTCAGTACTGTGGGTGATACTCAGAGGTAGGTGCTTGACTTGGATTTTAACTGGCATATATGTAGAACATTCTGGGCTGTGGATTTGGCTTAAGTAAAGTCATGGAGGAGGGAAGGTGCAGGATGTTTTCTAGAAACTGCAGGGATACTAGTGCAGTTGTATCAGAAGATGCAAAAGTGAGGGGAAGGCAGTGATGTGAAAGAGTGTACTGGTATCAAAATGTTCAGGTTTCTGGATTACTTGCTCTGAAATTTGGACTTGATCCAAACATGAGCCAACAGAGGAAGTAGCCAAGGAGATCAGTGCAGGACTGCACAGTGGCTGGACGGAAAGGGATGAACTTGGGTCAGAAAGGCAGGCCAATGAGGAGGCTGTAAAAGAGCACAGGTGAGCCCTGCTGAGGGTCTGGTCCAAGGCAGTGCAGTGGGGACAAAGTGAAGGGCAGGAGTGTGCCTTCCAGGAAAACTGAAGAGCTGTCTGCTCAACAATCAGTGCTCATAGTTCTGTGCAGGGAAGCTGCCAAGGGTACTTACTGCCTTGGTGGCCTTGGAGTTACAGGTCCCAAATTGTCTCTACCCGACTCCCACTGGATTTTAGATGCCTACAGTTCCTGTAACACCTTGGCTGCTGAGGAGGGGAAGTGGATGTAAGGCTGCCTGAGGTGGAATGATGCACCACTGCCATTTTCCAGTTGGGAACTTTGAACAACTGATGTAGCCTGTCTATGCCTCAGTTTCTTCATGTGTAAAATGGAGCTCATGACTGTTCCTCCCATTGGGCTTGTCCTGAGGATTGAATTTATGTGGATAAACACTGTACAGTGCCTAGCGCAGCACTTACACACTGGCTCTGGAGAGAGGAGACCACGCAGTCTTTCCTGCCTGGGTTAGGAGCTATTTTAACCAGGATGATAAATCGCTGCTCTGAGATAATCCCTTGAAAATAGAGGCTCTGGGGAAGGAAGAAGAGAAGGAAGGGAGGTAGTAGCTTTAACTTTCAGGTCTGCATCGTTTAAAAAGTGAAAACTACCATCAAGATTATCTAGTCCAGGCCTCTCATTTTACAGACGAGGAAACGAGGCCCAGAGTGGAAAAAGAACTTCAGCTAAAGTAAAACTGGGACCTGTGGCAAAGCCAGGCATGGGACCCATATCTTCCCTCGGGTCGCAAGTGTGCATGTCAGGCAGTAACAGTCTATTCTAACCCCACTCTCTCTGTGAGATTGTTTGTAAGTTTGTTAATAATAATATTCATAGAGCATTTTGTAACTTAAAATGCTTAGAAAAATGCCTGGTTCTAATAGGCAAGGACTTAGTAGTAACAAGGGTTAGCAATTCCTGAAGAGTCACCATTAAAGCAGGTAATATATAAGCAGGTATGTATTACTTCATTAATCCTCTCCCTGCAGGGTAGAAACCTGATAACTCCCAATTTAAAGATCAGAAAACAGAGGCTCAGAGGGTGTTCATGCTCAGAGATGATGCATGCAGGACTACATAGATGGTGACCTGCAGGGCCACCAAGCCCACAAGACTCCAAGTCCTAAGCTCTATTTCTATCTTCATGGTAGCTTTTTATATTATTGTTAGAGTAATTCACTACTACAACTGCTGCAGTCACTGTATGCATACAGCATGTCAGCCTCACCACTACGTCTTGAGGAAGGAACTGCCATTTTGCCATGGAGGGACTGGAGCTCAGAGAGGGAAAGTGATGCCCCAAGGTTACCCAGCTGGCAGGCTGCAGGCCCTGCCCTTGAACCCCTGCTAGCTGGCTCCTCGCTCAGTGCTCCCTCCACCGCCTTGCCATGGCTTTCTGGCAGTCCCATACCTGCGGGGTGTAACTCTCCACGTTGTACGGCTTCCTAAACCTTGTGTTCAGTATGTAGTGGGGGGAGCATCCCCCGGCGTAGTACCTGTGGTCGAGAACTGGGCCCTCCAAACGGTTCGTGAACAAATTTATCCTGCAGGGAGGGCATGGAGACGGGGCAGAGGTTAGGGTGATCAGGTTATGCTGACTGGCAGACCCCACCGAATGAAATCAAAACTCCTTACTATAGCACTGAAGACCCTTAAACCGTGAGCCAAAGCCACTTCCTGGCTTCCTCTCTGGCTAACCACACTCACTTCCCTAGCCCCCTTCCATTTGGAGATGCTTGCTCTCCTCCAGGCCACTTTGCTCCTTCGCTTTGGTGTAAGTGCTGGTTCCCATGCCCAGAAGGCCCTTCCAGACATTCACTGTTTTATCTTGCTTGTTTTTCAAGATTGAGGTCTGCTGTGACTCGTGGGAAGCCCTCACTGACACCTGTGGTACTCAGATGGGTGGGAGGTTTTCATAAGACCCTGTGCTGCCAGCCTCATGCATTTATCATTCTACTGTTACGTTGCCTTACACGAATGGCTAGCATAAAAGGTAAGAACACGGACTCTGGAGACAGATGCCTGGGGTCAAAACTCTGTTCTGCCATTAGTTGTGTGACGTTGGGCAAACCAGTTAGCCTCTCTGTACCTTGGTCTCCTCATCTGTAAAACGGGGACCAGGAATATACTTGCCTCATGAGGTTGTTGTGAAGATTACATGTGCCCATGTTTGTTAAGTGTTTACAAGACCACTTGGTCTGTGATAAATGTTTGCATTATTTATGTTGTCTGTTGCCCCCACTAGATTGCGTGCTCTTTGCAGGTGATGTTTTCCTTCTTAATTTCTGAATGCCCTCCATCACAAGCCACTGAACCAATGATCACTTACAGAGGATTTAAGTGGAAACAGACCCAGGAGTGGGTGGTCCCTGCGTCACCTTATTTAGTGTCCTCGAAGCCCTGGGCAGTGGTTATCATCACACCCATCTAGAAGGCTGAGAATCCTGTTACTGACTCCTATGGCAGGCCTCCATTCTTGACCAGCTCTGATCACTACTGAAAGTTCTTTTAGTTGCAAGGAGCTCTATCTCCTTCCAGCTCTCATACACTGGGCTCAGGTTCTCTTCCTAACAGAACTGTCTTAAGGCACTCTTTCTTCTGACAGTTCCACGTATCACAATAATGTATATTTATTTATTTTACTTTGCCAATAAAATGCAGTACTTAGTTTGTGAAGGTGCTGTTGAATTCAGTTTGTACATATTAGCTTATTTACCCCTTAGGAGGATTAATCTTTATGAGATGGGTATTATTATTATTACTATTATGCCCATTTTACAGATGAGGAAAAGCAAGGCATGGAGAGAGTAACTGACATGCCCAAGGCCTCACTGCCAGCAACAACTGGCGGGCCAGTATTCCAAGTCTGACGATCTGGTTCAAGAACAGAGTCTGCACACATCCCACCATATGAGCTGTGCTCACTTACTAGTTTATTACAGTCACATTGGCTTATTTGATCCTCACAGAGCTTGAGAGAAGGGTTGTTGACCGCCTTCTGTGGATGACAGAACTAAAGCACCACCGCGATAAGTGCCTCACCTGTGGCCCTGTGGTCACCGGGCTGTCCTTCTGCCCCTCATACAGCGACCAGTCAGTCCCTACTGACAGGCTTGGATGTCTGCTCTGTTATCCTCTTACAGCTGTGTGACCTCTGGGAACTCTCTTAATTTTTCCAGGCCTCAGTTTCCTCATCAAGTAAGTAGGGATTATAAGAACAAATTTATGAGGTGGTTTTGAGAGGCGGTGCTTCCCACATAAGGATTCTCTCTTAAGAACAACCTTTAAGGATTAAGATTTGATTTTTGTTTAGGAAGAAGATGGATTCCATTTAGGTTCACCATTCTCCTGTCATACTACATCACATATGATGACTTTTAATACATGTGAGGCAGGCGCTCACTCTTCCTCTTGGAAGCTGGGAGGCTGCAGAATATGGCAGGGGGCAGGGCGAACACCAGCCCAGTTCTGCCCCTTCTGACCTTGTTCCTCTGACCTCGCCAGAGGACCAGACCAACTCCGAGCTTCCTTGGAAGCCTGAAACACAGACTGACTGCTGACCCATCCTAGAAAGTCAGCCCTTCACTAAGTACTTAGGCGCCTCACCTCTGGCCAGTCCCTATGCTGGGGTCTAGGGACACAGAAACAGATAAAAACCTCCCTTAAGAGCTGTCAATAGGATTCAGAGGTAATGCTTAGAAAGCATCTCGCACAGTCACAGAGTAGGTGTTAAATGAATATTCACCCTCCGCTCTGGTGAGGAGCCCTCGTGGGCTCTCTGTGCAGCTGTCTGTGATGTTCCTAACTCAGCCCTCATGGCCACATCTGCCCACAGCTGGGACCTGCTCCTGGAGCTCTCTGGACCTGTCCTCAGAGAGCAGCCACAAGCATCCACTCACACTAGGCTTTTTTCAGAAAGGACAAAAGGAGGAACTCTGTTTATATCAGCCCCCTTCCTCTCTCTTCTCAAGAATTACATTTAACTTCATGCCTTCCCATGTACACTTACCCACTGGCCAGACTGCCAATTGCCCAGTATTGGTCCATTTCATGCTGACATTTTTTATAAACCCTCCTACAATTTGCCTCATCTGACTGGTCTCCACAGTCGTTGTCCCCATTGCAAAGAAGTCTGCGGTTTACACACCTCCCTGGGATGGAGAAAGGGACAGTCACATAGCTATCAAGAGGGGAGCTAACACAGTATGAGCACCTACTATGTGCCAGACACTTTGCTGGGCTTTTAACATTCTGTTACAATTAGTCCTCATTTATTATTAGCATGTGTCAGTAATGGCATTAACACCTTATTCCCCCAGAGGTCCATGTTGCATTCCTGAATACACTTTGCGGGGAGGACATTAAGAGTAGAGAAAGGGAAAGTGCCCACTAGGCAGAAGTTGAAGTGGCCAGATAGGAGGAAGTCCCGACTCCTGTCCCTCAGGCTGGCAAGGGGACGTGGGTTTGGTGGGTCCTGCAAGTAGCACTAGTTGAGTGGCCTTCCACTAGCCTGCCTACTTCAGTTTACTCCTAGGGAAGTCATCATACTTACCCTCTAGGGTTGCTGGGATTTAAATGAGGAAGTAGAACAAAACTGACTCATTGTAAGTGCTGGATAAGTTACTATTATCCTGTTTTGATGGGCCAAATGCACACAGCAGGATTGGAGCCTGTAACTTTCTAATCACACATTCTTTCTTCTAAACCACACTGCCTTCAACATCATAGCCATTGGGACTATTTTTAGAGTAAAAAAATATTTGGACTATATGCTTAAATTTATTTGCAGCCATTTTGCCTCTTTAATCCCTTTGCTCTCCCTTGACTCTCCTTATATTCTTGAGGGATAAAGCCCGTAAGACAGGCACCCTGTTTCCTTAGATATCTCTAGTCATTTTTAACCAATGTTCTTGGGGGCATTAAAGGCCGAAGAATATCTGGTCTTCAAGTGTTTCTTACAAAGCACTTACACTGAGGCCTGTCTGACTAACTATTACTGCTTTCGCCAGAATCATGGAACGCTGGCCATAATGAGTCCACAGAGAAACTGTTAAAGTCTTTTAGATTTACTGGATAGAATTTTGCATTTGCAATAAGCCCCAGAAATTGCTCTAAGAATTCTAACTCTTTCTTGAAAGATCCCGAAGCACAGTCCAGAAGGGTACAGTGAATGCAGACATTGTAACTACCATCTAGATAATTTGGATCAGAATACTCCTATTTTTGCTGGAGACTTAGATAAATAGGGAGGCATATGTTTGCTTCAGTTAGATGAATGCACCTTCCATTTGGAGATGCTTGCTCTCCTCCAGGCCACTTTGCTCCTTCGCTTTGGTGTAAGTGCTGGTTCCCATGCCCAGAAGGCCCTTCCAGACATTCACTGTTTTATCTTGCTTGTTTTTCAAGATTGAGGTCTGCTGTGACTCGTGGGAAGCCCTCACTGACACCTGTGGTACTCAGATGGGTGGGAGGTTTTCATAAGACCCTGTGCTGCCAGCCTCATGCATTTATCATTCTACTGTTACGTTGCCTTACACGAATGGCTAGCATAAAAGGTAAGAACACGGACTCTGGAGACAGATGCCTGGGGTCAAAACTCTGTTCTGCCATTAGTTGTGTGACGTTGGGCAAACCAGTTAGCCTCTCTGTACCTTGGTCTCCTCATCTGTAAAACGGGGACCAGGAATATACTTGCCTCATGAGGTTGTTGTGAAGATTACATGTGCCCATGTTTGTTAAGTGTTTACAAGACCACTTGGTCTGTGATAAATGTTTGCATTATTTATGTTGTCTGTTGCCCCCACTAGATTGCGTGCTCTTTGCAGGTGATGTTTTCCTTCTTAATTTCTGAATGCCCTCCATCACAAGCCACTGAACCAATGATCACTTACAGAGGATTTAAGTGGAAACAGACCCAGGAGTGGGTGGTCCCTGCGTCACCTTATTTAGTGTCCTCGAAGCCCTGGGCAGTGGTTATCATCACACCCATCTAGAAGGCTGAGAATCCTGTTACTGACTCCTATGGCAGGCCTCCATTCTTGACCAGCTCTGATCACTACTGAAAGTTCTTTTAGTTGCAAGGAGCTCTATCTCCTTCCAGCTCTCATACACTGGGCTCAGGTTCTCTTCCTAACAGAACTGTCTTAAGGCACTCTTTCTTCTGACAGTTCCACGTATCACAATAATGTATATTTATTTATTTTACTTTGCCAATAAAATGCAGTACTTAGTTTGTGAAGGTGCTGTTGAATTCAGTTTGTACATATTAGCTTATTTACCCCTTAGGAGGATTAATCTTTATGAGATGGGTATTATTATTATTACTATTATGCCCATTTTACAGATGAGGAAAAGCAAGGCATGGAGAGAGTAACTGACATGCCCAAGGCCTCACTGCCAGCAACAACTGGCGGGCCAGTATTCCAAGTCTGACGATCTGGTTCAAGAACAGAGTCTGCACACATCCCACCATATGAGCTGTGCTCACTTACTAGTTTATTACAGTCACATTGGCTTATTTGATCCTCACAGAGCTTGAGAGAAGGGTTGTTGACCGCCTTCTGTGGATGACAGAACTAAAGCACCACCGCGATAAGTGCCTCACCTGTGGCCCTGTGGTCACCGGGCTGTCCTTCTGCCCCTCATACAGCGACCAGTCAGTCCCTACTGACAGGCTTGGATGTCTGCTCTGTTATCCTCTTACAGCTGTGTGACCTCTGGGAACTCTCTTAATTTTTCCAGGCCTCAGTTTCCTCATCAAGTAAGTAGGGATTATAAGAACAAATTTATGAGGTGGTTTTGAGAGGTGGTGCTTCCCACATAAGGATTCTCTCTTAAGAACAACCTTTAAGGATTAAGATTTGATTTTTGTTTAGGAAGAAGATGGATTCCATTTAGGTTCACCATTCTCCTGTCATACTACATCACATATGATGACTTTTAATACATGTGAGGCAGGCGCTCACTCTTCCTCTTGGAAGCTGGGAGGCTGCAGAATATGGCAGGGGGCAGGGCGAACACCAGCCCAGTTCTGCCCCTTCTGACCTTGTTCCTCTGACCTCGCCAGAGGACCAGACCAACTCCGAGCTTCCTTGGAAGCCTGAAACACAGACTGACTGCTGACCCATCCTAGAAAGTCAGCCCTTCACTAAGTACTTAGGCGCCTCACCTCTGGCCAGTCCCTATGCTGGGGTCTAGGGACACAGAAACAGATAAAAACCTCCCTTAAGAGCTGTCAATAGGATTCAGAGGTAATGCTTAGAAAGCATCTCGCACAGTCACAGAGTAGGTGTTAAATGAATATTCACCCTCCGCTCTGGTGAGGAGCCCTCGTGGGCTCTCTGTGCAGCTGTCTGTGATGTTCCTAACTCAGCCCTCATGGCCACATCTGCCCACAGTTGGGACCTGCTCCTGGAGCTCTCTGGACCTGTCCTCAGAGAGCAGCCACAAGCATCCACTCACACTAGGCTTTTTTCAGAAAGGACAAAAGGAGGAACTCTGTTTATATCAGCCCCCTTCCTCTCTCTTCTCAAGAATTACATTTAACTTCATGCCTTCCCATGTACACTTACCCACTGGCCAGACTGCCAATTGCCCAGTATTGGTCCATTTCATGCTGACATTTTTTATAAACCCTCCTACAATTTGCCTCATCTGACTGGTCTCCACAGTCGTTGTCCCCATTGCAAAGAAGTCTGCGGTTTACACACCTCCCTGGGATGGAGAAAGGGACAGTCACATAGCTATCAAGAGGGGAGCTAACACAGTATGAGCACCT